AAAAAAAAAAAAAAAAATCTAATCGTGTAAATATTAATATAATTCCGATGGAGGAGACATGTTATTAAGCTCTCCCACTATAACCCCTACTCTTACATATTTTTATTTCTTTATATCAAAATGTATATTTTTTTGGTTGAAGGTAAGTTTAAACTGATAATTATTTACTTACAATTCGTCGTTTCTTGTTCAAACTTTCAAAGCCATCGCAGACTCAGCCCTGTTATAATTGTAGTATGGAAACTGGATCAATGAATGAATGAATAACTTCCAAAGGGAACGACACATTATCGAATGTTTTTTTGTAGAGTGATTGACGGAGCCAAAAAGTCTTTATTGTCATGTACTAATCCTAGTCTTGCTGACTCTTTACTATGGATGTGCATGGTTCAGTTTTTTTTTTTTTTTTATTTTATTTTAAATCATATTGAATTATATTATACTATTTTGATGAACTAAATTAATTTATGAATCATTTGAATCAAATTAATAAATTAGTTTAAAACTAAATATTTTTATACACAGATTTATAATAGATTTCATAACCAAATCAATTTTAAATTGATTTTAAGAACCGAATCAATTTTAAACTATTTATAATCAGATTTAAACAAAGTCACTGGTCTGCACTCTAGATTTTGAGTATGAATTAAATCTAGACTATGTTACTTGATTTGAGTTTAAATCACAAAATTTAGTATAAATTGGATTTTCTTTTTGTTTGAAACTTATTTTATGAGGCTTGAATTGATTTTTATTTTATTTTATCACAATTGTTATAACCCCTAATCGATTCAACTCAAACCCATTGGCTTAAATGTTAGGACTTGTACAAATGAAATTTGAGTTTTTCTTCAATCCTATAATTTATGTTTAGCAAGAAAAAAGCTCATGTAAAATTAAACTTGCTTGTATTGTATTTTTAATCTCTTTATTTATTTTAAAATTTAATTTAATCTTATTATTTTAAAAAGGTTCGAGTCAATTATTTAATTTTTAAAGAATATTTAATGTTGTCCTTTCATCTAAATTGACACTAATAACATTGGTTAAATTAGATGAAAAGATAATATTAAACATGTTTTGTAAATTGAAGGATCAAATTAAACATTTAAAAAATAATGAAACCAAATTGGATATTTTAAAAATAGTAAAATCAAATCAAATAAAAATATATTTAACATTTTTTGTCCAAATAAATTTGAATTTTCTTTTACATACTTAATATGATCATGAATGATAACAAATTGAGTATTTTAAATTAAAAAAATTCACAAAATGAAGAAGTTGTCTAATAAAATAAGTTATTAAATAGGTAAAAAAAAATTTAAATTTATCTAGACAAAACAAATGTTAGATAAATTTTATTCAATTTAATCTCTCTATTTTTAAAATGTTCAATGTGATTTTACTATTTTTAAATAATTTAATTTGGTCATAATTTTCAAAAGATATTTAATATTACACTTTTGTCCAATTTCATTAACACTATTAGTACTAATTTATATGAAAGGATAACATTAAACATTTTTTTTAAAAAAAATTAAAGTATCAAATTGAATCATTAAAAGATCGTAAGACCAAATTAAATTTTGAAAAATAAATAAAAAAGATTTAAAAATAATAATTTAACCATTAAACTTTTATTGAATTTTAACCTCGTTTTAGAAGTTTAAAATTATTTTGAGCTTTTGAACTTGAACTCGTGAATAGCCCAACCAAATATCCCTAATTTTTATAATTTATAATTTTATATTCCTAATATTTGATTTAACATTTTTTCTTCTTTTTCACACCTCCTTTTCTCATCTTTTCAATTTTTACATGCACATCTTTATCTTTCCTTCACCTCCACCTATTTTAGTAGGTAGTTTTAATTATTTCAATTTTACATTACTTTCTTCCCCTCTCATCATTTAATTTTCTCACTATTATATTATCTCTTTCCTCTTTTAGTTTTTACATGTACCAAAACGTATAACTATTTTTCCAGTATCGAAAGTGTCAAACCAAATGTACATTTTTTATTTAAATACTTTCCCCATTTATACATCTAAAAAATACAATTTCAAATAATTTCAACATTTTAGAAAGTACTTTTTTGAAATAGTAAAATTAGTGTCACTAAAAGCATTTTTTGAAATTGGATTATACTTCTGGAAAGTGCATTCTTAAATTATGTAAAACAAATACTTTCGAAAAGGACTTTCTAGAACATTAATTTTACTATTATAGAATGTACTTTTCGAAAGTGTATTATTTTACATAATTTTTGAAAGGTTTTTGCAGAATAATAAATTTAACATTCCGAAAAATACTTTCCATAAGTGTGTTATTTTCCATACTTCTAAATAGTACTTTATGAACACTAAATTTATTATTCTATAAAGTACTTTTTAGAAATATATAAAAAAAATACACTCTGAATAATGGTTTTTTGAAACACTATCAGAAAGTACTTCAGAATAGTAAAATTAATGTTCCAAAAATGTCCTTTTTATAAAACTAAATTTAATGTTAAGATTTTTTTGGAGAAGTTAAAGGAGAGGAAGGGATAGAAGAAGAAAAAAGTGTATCTAGTTCGACAGAAACTATCGAGAAAGTCGCACATTTCTAAAATGTTGTCACATATCAGTTCTACGGTCTTAGTGCATGTGAAAAAAGTGGAGGTAAAAGGAAAAGAGAGTAATGCAAAAATTGATAACTAAAATTACATATTAAAATAAGTGAAAATTTGGAAAAAAGAAAAAAAAATGTTTGTGAAAAATAAAAAGAAAACAATAAATTAAAAATTCAAGGTGTAAAATTTAAAAATAAGAAATATAAATATTTTAGAAATTATATAATAATAATAAATAAATAAAAAAAGATGTATACATAATGAGCCAATAATAAATTCATAAAATTTTAATAAAAATAAATAAATTCATAAAATCCGGCCCAACCCAATTCTATTTCACCTAGTTGGATTCAATGCACGCTCCATTCGAGAAGTGGGAGCGTCGAAATTGAATGTAATCCTTGAGGCCTGGTGGGCCTATAGAAACTTTTATGTTTGCCTTATTTGATGAAAATCACAAGCGCCTGGTGCAAAAATAGAAAAACATCCTGGTCTCTTCAATCACGATATATGGGATTCAAATAACCTGTTTCCTCCTTGTATTTCATTTGGTATCTCATCAATTAAAAAAATAAAATTAAAACGCTATTTAAAATATTTACTTATATTTTTATTTTTTAATATTATTTTATTTATCCTTATTTTATCTCTAAATTAAGAGAAGAAAACAAGAAATAGTAATGATTATATTTAAAATAATTAAATTACTCTAATTTGAAATTTCATCAAAAAAGATGTTTACTCTTTTTCAGTGAGATTTTAAGCTTCAATTTATCTATTTTTTGTTCACTCAAATCAAGTTGCATCCCAGTAATTTCTTTTATCTTTTCATATCTATCCACAAATATATCACTCCACAATTATGACAAGTAATATACATGTTTATAAACAAAAACTCAGGACACAGATGAAAAGAATGACTAACCAAATTTTATCAAGATAGACAAAAACATGAAACAATACATTTTATATAAATAACTGACAATTTTTTTTTTTTTTTGTTAATTGATTCGAGTTCCTTAAATTATTCTTGACACTTCTATCACAGAGATGAACAATAACTTGAAATTAAGTCAAAGAAGATTTTAATGAAATTGATACATTTAAAAAAAAAAAAGATATTCCTTCATATGTGATAAAAAAAATAAATACAAATAAAATAATGTAAAAAGTGATGAAAATATAAGTATATTTTAAATAACATTAAATTTTTTTTATCGGTGGAACGTCAATTAAGACATAATGAGAAAACTGCAAATTTGAATCCGTCAGACACCACCGAGATCTAATTAATTAAAAACTCCTAAATCTTATTTACTTCGAATCAGTTTGCTGAGTCTATTAAAAGCTTATTTCTGGAAATTAAAAATATGGAAGAACAAATTAATTAGTTTTGTAATATTTCCACTTTGAAGTCAATACAAACCAGTTTTCAAAATCTGGGACAAAAATATCTATGATAATATCTCTTATTAAAATTATATTTATATCAATACATAATAAAAGAGTAATAATTATTAAAAATATATCTTAAAAGTTTCACCTAATATACCTAAATAAAATATATGTGCCGAAACTTAAGTTTAATTTCCGTTACTTTGCTTATAATATTTTTTATTGATAAAAAAAAGTTTAATTATATTTTTAGTCTCTTAGATTTGAGATATATATTTTAGTTTCTCACATTTAAAGTAATTTTTTTTTCAAATTAAAAATTTATCTTTCTAGTCTTCATAACTAAAAACGTTTTTTCACACAGATTTCGCTAATAAAAACATGGCTCTCGCTTAATTGTATATTTATTAATGATCAATCTATTGGTGTGGCTCAAGTTTGACTGCAATTTTAAGTACTCCATACTAATCATCTGATTATGTTTTTATGTAAAGGGAGAACTGTCCCTCTTTTCTTGAAACAGAAAATACAAGTGACATTGAAAAACAATACTAAAAAACTTGGATTTATTCATAATCATAGTTTTGATTAGATATATCCGAAACTAATAGGCCTAATAATTTGAAAGTTACTTTGATTCCCTTAATTTCTCAGCTAACATTGCATTGTATTCCTCTCTCAGGCTGTTGTATTTCTTGCTTAGGGTATTGAAACCTCCCATTTGCTCCTCTGTCAACTCTTTCTTTTTCTTTTCCAACCGATGCTTTGTCAATTCAATCTGCTTCTTCAGCTCTTGAATTTTCATATTTTTCTCTTCATGCTCTTTCTGTAACACTTCCAGCTCTGACGCTGTCCTTCCTAATTAATTTTCCAATAGAATCACACATTTTCATTTCACCACACACTGCCATACCATGTCATGCTAAAATGATACTAACTTACTACATTTTAATGTATAGTTTTCTGAAAGAGAATTTATATTTGTATTGTAAAATTCGTCTAATTTTTTAAAATGGTATTGTGCCAATCACAAAACTTGCTTTCTATTTTTTGGTTCACACATGAAGATTTATCTTAAACAAATGCTACAGGTAATGACAAACAAATGTCACCACAAGAAACCATTCACTGCAAAAGGTGATACAATTTGTCAAAACTATGCCTGTGAATATGCCTTGGTTAGCTATTTAACTTTTCGAGTGTTTCTCTTTTACTTCATATACATAATACATATCATGTGAAAGATTTTTAATCTTCTCGCCTTTAAGAAAACATATTCAAGAGAGTAAAAACATTGTAGTAGATTATTTGTTTGTGTGTATGTGTCAATATATATATATATATAGAAACTTATAAAAAATCAAAAGAAATGAATACCTGTAGCTGTACTATTCCATCTACCACCTTCCATGGCTTCCCTGCTGCATATTAGAACATCAATTTCATTGTATATATGTTGCATTATTCTATCTAGAATAAGGGTGGGCTAATAGTGACCAAGAATAACAGTTAACATAAAGTGTTTAAACTGAAACCCAGTGACTCTGCCTCCAAGTCATCCATAATCAAAGACTAATATGCTAAACATGACAAACTTCGAAGTTTGTATAGTGTATAAATAAATGATGTGTCAAATGTAGACTGAGACGTGTGTATCTCCCTTAGACTTTTCTCAACTTTCTCTTCCACGTGGAGACAAACCAACCCAGAATTGTTTTTCAAGAGATCACAAGGAAACAATGAAGAACAAGGGAGCAAATTAATCACAGTAAAGGAACAAAGATAAAACATGAAACTGCACCGGTGAGAGTTCTGTTCTTGTTGGGAAAACTCGGACTTTCCCGCTTCGTGAAGTTAAGATCCATACAATTTAACTTTGCTTTCTGTTTCAAGAAAGGCCAACAAATTTCACAAGCACGCAAACATCACAAGGACTTATTTTGGGTTGTAATGTGGCTAGGCTAAGAAAAAAATGATTTTTCAGGATAACAAGAGCACTTAGAGCAAAGAGAGCAAAAGTAGATTAAGAACATAAACTTAACATTCTACTCTCTTTCATTTGAAAGCCATATTGAAAACAACCGTCAACTTTACAATCAAATTATTTTATTTTTAGTTTATTTTGCCTTTTCAATTTTTTTTTTTAAAATGAAATTGAAATGTACATTGATTGAGATGCTATACAACATGAACCCACAACCCCTAAAGTTTTTCTTTGTACTCACCTAAACTATTTTTGACAATTTTTCCCCCAAAGTTGTATAAAAACCAATGACCATAATTTTTTTCTCTCTTAATTAGCTCAAAGTGAGGTGGTCAATTGTTTTTCATTAAGGCTTAACAAATTAATTCTTAGATGGTGAGGAAAATCGAGCTAGGAATTTAGTTTCCACATCCCTCCAACTAATCTAGCTTTGGTTAGGCTGAGATTGAAAGCAAGCCTTAACCTTCCTAGTGAGAGAAAATGGAAACAATTTCAAGAATAAAGCTTCTTCACCATTCCCTGTAATTCCAATAGAATCACACAACTCGTAGAAAATGTATAGATAATAATATGGGTCTTCATGATCCAACCTATTTGATGAGAGTTTATAAGTTGCAAGAGAGTAGGGCTTTATTTTAGCTATCTTCTCATTCATAGAGGGTTTCACAATGCTACAAAAATTTCTGGGACTTGAATACATATATAATAGAGTCCCTTGTGGTTTGTATGCGGTTTACATTAAGATTTGGGTTTCCTTTTGCCATTTCCCCCTCCAAGGAAAGATCAAGATCTTGAGCACTAGTAGTAGCAATAGAGGAAGATTGGTGGCTAGCTTGCCCGACAAGTAACCTCCACCTTCTTGTGTTGCTATTGGTTCCTTTTGCAATTCTTTCAATTTTTGGGTCGTCAAATAACATTTCAAAAGAGAGTAGATAAAACAAGTTAGTCAAAAGAATTGTATAAAAATAAATGAAAAGTAAAGAATAAAATAATAAAACCCAAAATAGTTATAAAGGCATAATTGCCTTGTATTGGGACACAAGTCCCCAACAACGGCACGAAGAAACCATGTTAGGCGATTATGGCAAGTGTACCAATAGTTAGTAGTGAGTAAATATTGCTCTCAAGGGAATCTTTATCAAACAATTAGAAAAGACATTAGAAAAGAAAGGGAGGAGTTGAATACTGACAATAAAAAATTTAAAACTTTTTTGAAACAATAATGTGGTATCAAAATCTTAAGAGTACAAACGTGTACTGAAACTAATACAAAAAGCGTGATATACATACTGAAATGCCACTAGGAGAATAAAAAATTAAAAAAAAACAAGAATTTATTCATATTCAATATATATTATAAATAAAAATCATAGAAGCTTGTCTACAAAGAGTCAAAAAATAATTAATTCATATTGTATTGAGGCATTTGTTTTCATTCAATAACAAAGAAAAGAAACTCTCAATAAATTTTGCAAATTGTTTAAATATGTTCAAGAATTTTTAATAAATTTGGAAGAATAACAGTTCACCACTGTAGAGAAGAAAACTTCAATTACTCAATGTATGATTAATGAAATGCTATAAATGTAACATTCCAAATTTTCTGGTAATATATTAGTTTAATTGTTATTTATTTTTATATTTATTGGGATTATTTTCTTATAGTTGTTTTAATTAATTAAATGGGTTTTATAGGATATTTTAGAAATTTTTAATAATTATGAGTATTTTAATTAAATAATAAATATTTATAAAAATTATTTTGTATAATATTTATTAGAGAACTATGTATTCTTATGATATTTTATTATAATAAGTATTTGGAGGAAAATTATGTGTTTTATTGTAATTATTTATATATTTTATTTTAATCATTTATAATAAGGGAAGGGAAATTATTTTTGATAACCATGGTT